TGGTGGTTGCTGAGGGTCGGAGTGGCTGTGGCAACTCCTTAAAATAAGACGAGGAAGTTTGCCACATCGACCGACTCTCCCTTTCACCAAAGATTTCTCTGCAGCATGTGATGCTGTTTGATAGTATTTTACCCACAGCAGAACTTCTTTTAAAATTGGAGTTAGTCCTCTCAAACCCTGCCACTGCTTTATTAGCTAAGTTTATGTTAGTTAATATTCTAAATCCTTTGTTCTCATTTCAACAATGTTCACGGCATCTTCACCAGCGGTGTGTCCGTCTCGGGAAACCACTGTCTTTGCTCATCCATAAGAAGCAACTCTACATCCGTTAGAGCGTGATCATGAGATTGCAGAAACGTGGTCACATCTTTAAGTTCCATTTCTAATTCTGGTTCTCTTGCTATTTCTATTACATCTGCAGTAACTTCCTCCGCTGAAATCTTGAACCTCTCAAAGTCATCCATGAGGGTTGGAATTAGTAATTGAGTTTATTACTGGATGAATGAAACTTCTCTCTCATCTCAGGGGTTTTGCATAGGTTGATCCCTTAGCCTGGGATGTACCTCCCTAACAGGCCATCTGGCTCACTCCTACTCATCCTTTAGGTCTCAGCTCAGGGGCCCCCTCCTCCAGGAAGCCCTCCCTGACCTCCAGGCTGGGTCGGGCATCCCTGTTTCTGCTCCCACGCCCCTCTGGGGTCCCCCATCCCTGCCCTGCCCACTCTGGGTCATCATTATCTCGGGATAGATCTGACTCTCCCACTGGATGATGAGCCCCGTGGGGGCAGAGCCTGGGGCTGTCTTGGTCATTGTTGCGTTTCCAGCATCCAGCCCAGGATGGAGCCTGGAGGAACATTGAATGTTTGATGAATGAAGAGGGATGGGCAGGGCTGCAGCCTCTCTGGGGCTGGTGCTCTCGGGAGCCGGCAGGGGCCGTGGGAGCACGCCGGTCTCCCCCTGGGCTGAGAGTCTGACCATCTCCCTTTCCTCCGACCTGGGGTCCCTGAGAGCAGCGCCTGGGTTTGATGCACCCCTGGGCCCCTGGCTCAGAGCTGGAGCGGAATGCATGAGGGTCATACATGGGTGCGGTGGGTTTCGGGGTACGCGGGCTGTGCATGTCATCTGTGTGTAATTGTGTCTCTTAAGGTCTGCACGTCTCTGTGCCTGAATGTGCGCGTTTGCAAGGCTTTTGCGATCGTGCGTCTGAGCCTTGCTTTCCTTGAATGACGGTCTTTCTGTGTCTTTCCTCTCCCTCTTGGGCCGGGTGTGCGTGTCCGTGGATGTGGGGAAGGGGTCTTGGCTGTCTGCTGGGCCG